AAAAAAAAAATTAGCGCTCAATGAGGCCCTGCTGACTTTCCGCTTGTCCTTCTGTGGCTCCCTCGAAATCAACCACTTCTGCTGTGCTGACCATCTGCTTGTGGTGCTGGCCTGCTGTGACACCCATGTAGGAGATGGTGGTGTTTTTCTACCTGTGGGTCCCACCTGCCCACAGCCATCATACTGCATGTCTCTCTTCTGTCCATATACACATGACCCCATCAAAGAAATATGTACAAGACTCCAAAATAAGTGTAGGGCTTTTTTAAATTTTTTTTCTCTACAATTTTGAGTACGTTACTAAACCCCTTAATCACAAGGATATGGTCAGCATCATACACCACATGGTCAAGGGAAATATATTTCAGAAAATTGCAGTGTAGCCTGTCTGTGCCTGTCTGTCCCCAGGAGCATGCTGAGGACATGCAGGCTGCCCGGCGATGCAGCCCCTACTCAGTGTCTGGCTCCTTATCTTGAAATCTCAGTAGCCAACCTTGCTCATTTGTCTTCAGCATAATTCTTTCCTACCATTGGTTCCAGAAGCTTTTCACTTTCCCCTGACTCTGTTTATAGCCACTAATTTTATCTGCGATATTGGTATAGAGAAATGCAGCACTGCAAATCCTTTGCAAGGCGACCTCTACTATCAAGCCGCCCAGCACTGAGAAATGAACATCACAGCCGCTGCCAAAGCAAAGCAATGCAGACATCTGTGATGTTCACCCCAGAGATGAACATACAAAAATGGATTTCTTACAGGTGAAAAATAATGAACTCAGAAAAATTAAGTAACTTTCAAAAACCACCAAGGGGCTAGGCTTTATGTCTAAACATAAAATCTTAGCTATTCCTGGGATGGCTCTGAAAAGACTCCAATACATGGGAATTTATTAGCATACAATTGGTACTTATATTTACTATATTTCAAAGAATTATAAAAATGCATAAATAAAATATGTACACACAGATATTTAATATAGAGGAGACAAAAGGGGACTATAAAGTAGTTTTAAGGTATAGAAGATAAAAAAAAAAGATGAGATTGGATACCAGATTCACAAAAAGAGAAACATATGCTACAAAGGGGTTGAATATATTTATATTGCATATGATACTAAATGAATTGTACTTAGCAAAAACGTATAGGAGCCATTAAAAAAAGGAATAGCAAAGGTAAAATAATCCAAATGCAGTGAATATAGACTATGAACATACAGGGAAAGAGAAACCTCAGTTTAGTGTGGATGCATCTGCAAGCATTTGACCTGGCTTACACTGCCCAAGCATAAAGGGAAAGTGCACATTTACCTTGTGGCCATGAGATTGTAAAATGTTTCAAAAGTCTATGGGTCTTAATGTTAGAAGAAATGGGGCGGGGGAGAGATAGCTCAGTAGACTAAGTGCTTCCCTGGCAAGCACAAGGGCCTGAGTTCAATCCCCAGTTCTGCCAAAAAGAAGAAGACAGAAGAAGAAGAAGAAGAAGAAGAAGAAGAAGAAGAAGAAG